ATGGATGAAATGTTCGCCCCACGGTTCAAACCCAGGATCTTCTGGTTACAAGGCGAGCTCGTAGACCATTGAGCCACTGGGACCCGATCCAATGGTCCTTGAATTCTAACTTCTGCCAATTCACGACATAGCGCGACCATTTCGCAAGTTCTCTAACTGATGTCAGCTCATGATGAAATCCTCCATCAATAACAAAGAAAATGTTATTTATTTGGTAAAACAAGTGACTTCAAAAAAAAATAAATTACAAAGTATTCTTCTGTGTATTTAGCTGCATTCGAAACTGAACAAATTTTTATACATCCTCCAATATCTTGATTATGTTTATCGTGTTGTTAGGCGTACTCAAAATTCATTGAAGACAATTAAAAATTTAAAATACTGATTAATTAGCAAAGAATGTTCTCTTCTGGAAGTACGTCATCAGATTCTACATTCATACGGTGATTATAATTAAAGAAATATTGTTATCAACAACATTAATGCTATTTTAAATTACACTGAATCAATAGTATCTACGGATTACATTTCAAAAGCAACAGTAAGAGATAACATGCATGAATAGAAGACTAAACTGAATATCAGATAATTTAAGGAAAGTAACACAGAATTTATGAATATACAGGTTCCATGACAGCACAGGGTAGTAGCAATAGTGGCTGGCTGAAACTGTTTCTTTTGCTCTTAGAGCTTCGATTGATTTCAGAGAATTGTAATGGCCTCTGTCGTTTGAATTTTTCTGCACCTAAAGACCTTTGGTAGTTTATTCGATAACCGATAGATGATAGAAAAAGACACTTCAGTATGCTTTGTGGCTTGTTTGGATGAAGTGATCCAATATGGTACTGTTAATGATCATACTGGTAGCTGATCTCAAGCAAGGAAAATTAATTACCTAGTGTGCAAATGCCAATATAACTGGCTCCACAGGAACAATTGAAGTGATATAAACAGTTAGATGTGTCTAGCCTAGGTACTTCATCTTTCACTTTTAGAGTTATAACTGGTTGTGTGAGAAATATAAGCTGCTGCCTACCCGCATCAAACATTCTTTGAATCGATTTTTCTCACCTTAAAATTACACAGCTTACTTATGCCATTGACCATTATCAAGTTAAATTTAGTACTAATCAGATAAAACTAGTAATAAACTCTAATACCTAACGACATATTTTATATCGATTCTAAGACCAGTCCGATCCAGAAAGCTCGGGCTGCTTTCGCTAACATACACCGTCTCTGGCGTAGGCGTGACATCCGGCTGTCAACCAAGGGACGTGTATACTGCTCAGCAGTTCGCTCCGTCCGTCTCTATGGCGGTGAGACGTGGCCATTGAGAGCGGAAGACATGAAGAGATTGTCTGTTTTTGACCACAGATGTTTACGATCTCTCTCTCGCGTTAGGTGGTATAATAAGGTAAGTAATGTTGACGTTAGGCGTAGAGTGTTGGGCAGAGAGGGAAAATCAATCGAAGAGGCTATAAAGTTACATAGATTGAGATGGTTAGGTCACGTGCTGCGTATGCCTAACCATCGTCTCCCCCTTCCGACGGGCATTACTAGCTGATATAGGTGCAGGTTGGAAAAGAGTAAATGGTGGCCAAACAAAAACATGGCATCAATCAATCCATGAAATCCTTGACAGTTAAACTGAGTCAGGTAGGGAGATGCAGACTTCCGGGTTGGGGCCCTCGGGACTCTAAGAATCAATGGCTGGAGACAATAGGTGACATGGCTCAAAATCGTTGTCAATGGCTTACGCAGATGTATTCAGTCTCTTTAACCTTCATATTCCTTTCTACCATTACTCATTCTGTTTCACTCTTATACTTATCTAAATTCTATTGATTCTCTTCACTCATTTTCCTGTCTACCTTTGTGTGCTATTTGGAACGTGGCAACTCGAACTGCTGCACTTCGGTGCCAAGTTCTATGTTGAATCACAGCAGCAGCAGCAGATGTTATAAAGAAATACATCAGGAAGTGGTCATTAATTTATGTTTGTTTAACCTGTCTTATGCACTTGACCAGATTTATATTCTGCTATTCTATTCGATTAGTTGATTACATCATATAAGATGATTCTGTACACCGTGACAGACTAACTTCCAGTCATTTGTAAATGTATCCTATGGAAATAGTTTTGCCTATTAGTATTCGTATATTTATCAAATACTTAACTGCGTTGAGTGACATCGCGCGTCAGGCCAGTGCTCGAGTGGAACCCGAAAGGGAAGTGGCGAGTGGGACGTCCAAGGGTGACATGGAGGAGATCGTGTGAACAGGAACTGAAACAGTATGGATTAACATGGATGCAAGTGAAAAGTACAGCAGAAGACAGAAGCAAGTGGAGACGTGCAGTTGAAGCCCTATGTTCCACTAGGAACCCAAGGGAATAATAATATTATAATAATAACTGCATTACTTATTCTTGTAGAGAAATCCAGAGAATGTAATATTTTTTATTATTATTTTAGGTACGATGTTTCTTCTAATGTCGCTACAACAGTTTTGAGGTTGTTCTATTTAAATAATTACTTGACAATCGGTGGTTAAAATCAAGTGCAGTGGAAGTTGTCAGCAGAAACGGAGAGAATATTTCTTTGTTGTTTTTACATTCATTCTACTGTCCCGCTCTCTTACTCTCTCTCTCTCTGTCTCAAAGATGTTAACTATCAAAGCAGGAAGCATGATCACTATTCGAAATTCACAAGAATAAATTAATAATAATAATATTTTAGCTTGCTCCACAAGTTCTCATAATCTTTCATTTCTTCCTCTCACGATCTCCCTCATAGCACTGTCACACGTCATACCCAAGGGACTAGCGAGTGATGTCATTCAACCACCTCTTTAGTGAATGTTCAATCCATTTCCTTTTTTGTTGTGCCCCTTTTTGTTGGTCATTAGGCTCTCTGTTGATTTGCTCCCAGAGTTCCTTGTTGCTTATCCTTTTGGGCGGCCATCTGATCTTCAGTGTGGAGCCAGTGAAGGCTGTTGTTGATAAAAAGTCTGCACCCTATTCAAAATCAGTTTTGGTGACTCTTCAACTCTGTATGTAAAGCACTAATTTGTCATTAGTGTTGAAAATTCCAATCATGTTTCTTATACTCAGTGCATTAGATTTCCAATCTGATTTCGAAATAACCAAGGTATGTGTTGCTTTTACATAATGAAAATTTACTTACTATCTTGATGTACACTGTTAGACGACGAGGCAGAATAAAATCAAAGGTCTGAATCCTAAAAAAACAATCCGACTGTACCAAAAGCCAATATATAAAGTGCATAATAATTACAGCTGGAAGTGCAAAGGAAAAATTTGTGTGCGTATAACAGATGCAAATATTTTTGATTGCACACTAGTCAGTCACTAGTGTGCAATCAAAATATCCAATACAGTCCTACAGGAGGTCAGTCGCGAGCCTGAATAGCTCAGTGGTAACGTCTCTGACTGCAGCACTGGTGACGCGGGTTCGAATCTCAGAAGGGACATCAGTTCCTTCAAGGTTGCAGATACGCCTTGCTGATGAGTGCCAGCTAGCAGGAAACCTAGGTCCAAGGCTTCCTGCCGATTGCCTCCAACCATCTAATAAGATGCAAATATTATTCAATGGTTTTGTTGTCCTGAGAGCTTTCGTTTCCACCTCATAGAAATTTCTATGCATCTACCAATTCACCTGCTCGTGTGGAGCCAGGTATATCGGCCGTACTCAGCGTTCGCTATCCAAACGCGTCAACGAACATTTACCTTCATGGTTTTATAAAGGAGAAAACCGATGCCCCCACAGCTCGATCCTTGAACATTTGATCGACTCTGGACACCAAGTCAAACCAGAAATAAACCTCAAAGTTATCTACAGAATACAAGGCAATCTTGCTAAAAGTGTACGGATCAAACTTCTCCACATCGCAGAAGCAACGGCAATTCATCTGCTAAATCCTGAACTCTGCATACAAAAGAAATTCGTTCATTCATTAAATCTACAATGGACGTAATCTTTCTTAATTTCAGTCTTACTAATTGTATTATTTTGTCTCTTGCATTTTATTATTTCACATCTTCACTTATATTATTCTCTACCCCACCCTTTTGTAATCTCTACCCTCATTAACAATGTTACTAACTTGACCCACGTTCAATATCTAGTCAACTGCGTTACGTCATCCGATCAACTTACTTATTTTCAACTGTATTATTCTCTAACCCCACCCTTATTTGATTTTAAACACCACTCATTAACACTTTTGCCAACCTGTCCTAATCTGAATTCTACTCACTTAATCAATTCTATTTTATTTTCCATTTTAACGTTTGTTTCCAAGCCAAAAATTACTTATATTACATAATTATCTAAACTTTATAAATCTAATGTACACACATACAAACAAAATTGTATAAATATGCGATTGTACAGCTCAGTGAATGAATTCGCCGAAAAGAGTCTCTTCGCTGAACGCCTTCTTTTCTTTTATATGACCAAAAAATGGATATACTATCGTCACGGCACTTGAACAAAAATGGTGACGTCTAAACTGATAGTAAAAGCCTTGTGGACGTGAAATCGAAAGACTGTGTGAAGCGGAGATGAAAGTTTATGGTTAATTGTAAAGCCAGCTAAAGATGACAGCCCACAACAGGTTGAAATAGAGATGGGCTGTTGAATCCCTTGGGTTCCAAGTGGAAACTAAGGGAATAATACGAATGCTAGGTATTCAACTTCTTCATTTTGTTGTTTTTTGGGGGGTCATGTTGCCACAGTATTTGGCGTAGTACGTCTTTCTCTAAAAGTTTGTCTTTACCTAGTAATCCACTTACATTCAAAAGAGAAAAAGGAACTAAATATGATAACTAATATATTACCAGGTTAGAAGAAATAAAACCAAAATTAAGTGCATTTAAGCGTGTGCGTTATTCGTTTGTTTGCATGTATGTGTGTGTGTGTGTGCACGGGAGAGGTAGACATCGAGTGAGACTATAATGAGAGCTTGTTTGATAACTATAAATTATTAGGCGCTAATATGTTCAAATCAACTTCCAATTGTACTGCATTACTTGATGAATTACTCCATAATTTAGTGTAAGCAATTAAAAACATAATTGTGCTCAGCTAAACAAACATTGACATTTACACACATTGAAACATTGACACAACATAAAGTTAACGAGTAAATAAAATGAGGGAAAGGAATAAAAAGAAGAGGAGAACGTAAATCAATCAAATAATTTTTCAGATAAAACAAAGAAAAGTAAATATTTAACTACTAATAACATTTTTGAAAGGGAGACAATTATGAATAAGTGCATATACTACTCAAAGACAAGTAACTCAATAGTAGTTTATCTAATACATGGTCTCTTTTAAACAACTTAGTATATCTGTTTATGAAAGAAATAAAACTATGAAGTGACGAGTATATGCATCTGGTCTCAAGACTACATTCCTACAGTTAATGGCTAGAAAGGTGAACTAGACATTATTACTGTAATTATCTATTTCTAATTTAATTTTAGATTTTCCCGTTGATTCATGGGATCGAAAGTCTCGGCGTCTGTTGACATGTAGACTGTAATTACGAACACTTCAGTGATGTCTGAGAATCACCTCAAAGTAATTAGATGGGTGGTGCCTAGCAGCAGAATCCAGCATGTGTATTTCTTCCTGTTTCGGAATCATCATCTGTGTGTAACTAACGACACGTCAACAGAGTCTGAATATTTCGGTGCAATCAATCAACGGGAAAAAAATTTTTAAAAATGATGCAAAAATAAATAATAGGTGACGCCAATTCTCACAACAAGCAGCTCTCATCACTCAAGTGGTCTAGTGGATAACGCTTTGGAGTTTGAAACAATGGGTACTGGGTCGAAGTCTCATTGTGAACACCATTACTCACTGAGGCACAGAGGTTACGTGTCCAGGTTACGTGTCCCAAATAGAAAGAAATGCACATCCTAGATTCCACTGTTTGTCACCATCCACCAAACTACTTCATATTATTACTGTACTTTCATCTTTAATACACTCCCATTAGATCATTCAATGTAAGTGATAAACTTGTATACTTATGGTTAGGTTGGAAGGAAAGTTTATTTGAAATTTTCAAATAAATCACGCTACTACAAGAAATGGATATTTCCGTATTGTCAGAAGGACTTCTGATAAGAAAAAACTAATCTGCATGATGTAATATAGTTGAAAGAATTCAGCGCAGTTGAGTGATGGAAAGTTAGAACTGTGAGGAATAGGAGAGAGAGAGAGAGAGAGGTGTATTATGCCAGCATACATTACTCATTCTCACCTTATTATATCTCTCAGTTCTGATTTTCCACTGACGAACTCTCCACAGTTCACCTAACTTGATTATTTATTTTTTACTTTAATTTTGGCAAATCTTTATGAGATTTCTACTTTTATACAGCTCTAGTCAAGACTGAGATTTGTTAGGATTTCGCATTATAATTGAGCACTACCGAAAAATGTCAGTAGTAATTAAACATCACTCATGTAGTTCTGCAAGTATCACTAATCAGATGTACGAGGTTACTGGTTAATTACTCTTCCAATAAAAAAATAATTAATCAGTTGTCGTAATACAGCAGTAATCCTCACCGCTTTCATTACCATAATGATATTATATATATATATATATAAATTGAAAATTAGGTAGTAACTAGTGTCATGCGCATAGTCCATCGTTAGGTCCGGACTAAATTCTGTCAGTAAAGTTTGAAATGTGGTCACCATTCCAGGTGGCTTGCCATCAAGTTTCACACTGAAATGTTGTTATTAGATGGTTTGAGGCAATAGGAAGGAAGACTTGCTTCACCTACGCTTCGTTCTTGTTGGCACTCATCAGTCAGCAAGGCGTATACGCAATCCTGAAAGAACTCGTGTCCCTCTGAGATTCAGTCTTCACCAAACCAAAGACCAGATGCATAACACTAGTTACTAACTAGTGCCCAGTCGACGTATGCAATATAGTCATACAAGAGGTGAAGTGCAAGCCAAAATAGTTCAGTAGTAACGTCTCTGACTGCACCATTAGTCGACATAGCTTTGAATCTAAGGGTGGACATACGTTTCTCCAAATTGCACATATGCCTTGCTGACTAGTGAGCGTCAACAAGGTCGAAGGCTTTCTGTTGACTGCCTCCAACCATCTAATATATATATATATCCCATATAATCCGCAGTCTAAACTAAATAGCGAAAATTCCCTCAATCTGGATCCAAACAGCTTCAAAAAGATTTGCTTTTCGCCTCTGGTCTCCATGGTGAAATTAAAAAATGGATACTCCCTTAATCAAAGGCACGAATGCCCAGTTGTGTTCAAAAAGAGGAAGGGTTAGAGGAAAAGAACTCAATTTATACATTAGTAACAAGTTAGGTGCAGGATCGAGTGGAAACGTTTCATCCGGAAAGCTTCTTAGACAAAATCGTAACCAATAATTCCTATACGAAACTCCAACCAATTGCAACACTAATCTTTTCCTAATCCAAAATCGGGTGGTTTGAACTGATTTGCCTCTCTGAGACGAGTGAAACTGGGTACATTGTTGGTTAGCTCGACCCCACATGAATAAAATGGCTGTTTGGTGTTTAAATCAACTCGATTTGGCTGACAAACAGTACTGGTTGATATCAGTGGTAGGCAACTACTCCACTCAATCGGTCAGTAGTATATAGTTTCATGTAAATATTTTTCTGAATTTCTTTAGTATTCTTATACTTCTTTCAACGCTTTTCTTGTAAGTATACTGTTATTTAACTGGCTGCACTTCCTTGCTCACAGTCGTCTATGCACACGTTCATTTGGATGTCCATTCTCTGACTTCTGTGTACACATTATTGACTAAAAATTATTTAATGTAAATTGATAGCAAATATTTGAAATTTAGAACGCCTATGGAAATTGTTCAGCGTACTCTGTGATTTGATATTAGCTTGGTGGAATCTTAACAAGCATTATGTATGAAGTGAAGTTAGAAATTTTAACTCCTATTTTTGGGAAAAAAATTATTTCAATGGAAATGTCACTCAATGGATCCTTTTTTTATTATTACTATCCCGAAATGTTCTGATTAGTATTTTAAAGGCGTTGCCATTTTCAAAGTCTGAAATTTAAGGGATATTAGTGTTTTAAGATTCTCAACTTCCAAAAATTCGTTTAATAATAAATCCACGCATATTTTGGATATTTTGGTTCAACCTATATTAACTGGTATTCTAAAATTTTATGTTTAAAATGTCTGTCTTCACTGGAGACTTATACACAAAACAAAACAATAAAATCTGTTAATTCAAATAACAAGTCAGGGAAATAATTTAAATAATTTACCTCTTCAGCGTTAGTCTGTTGTATCTGAGCCAATCGAGTATCAAGCTCGTTAAGACGTTCATTCATTTCACGGATTTCTTGATGAGTCATCAAGGTACATTCTCCTGGATGAATTGAGTCTCTCCGTGCCTGTAAAAACATGTGAACGACAATTCATACTACTTGATCTCTTATCAGTGAAAGAAATAACGTCTGACACAATTTTTTTTGTTTTGTAATTATTCATTTCTAATACACATCAGCTGAAGAATTAAACAGAACTAGGAAGCACTAAACAGAGCTGTTTCATTCTACTTCCAGGCCAAGTAACAGTTCACTATATCCACTTTATACATGGATGAATCCAGGACAGATACAACTACTTTGTCATTCAACCAAACGATGGAAGTACACTGGTTTCCAAAACTTTTATGAAATAGCTGAGCGGCTTTTATTGGTTCACCAGTTAATGTATTTGCATGGTGAATGTTAGAACTATGCCACCAGATGGAGTGGAACTTTAATCTTATTAGTATACACATCAATTCCAAACTGCCACATTTACGCAAAAGGAAAGTAATGCGCTTTTCTCAAGTTACTGGACAAAGAAAATCTCAAAATCGTAAGGTAAATTAATCTTTGTGAAATCTAAAATAAAAGAACAAAAGAATTCAGTAGCACATCCCTACCCATTTCGTCTCGTTCTCTGCAGTCCTTTTCATCTATCTCTATGATTGTCCGTAAGACCTCATCTTCCACTCTTATGTTCTCCTCTATGTAACAATAGGATACACGCCTAACACGTCGTTTCCTACTTGAGTTTCACTCAAGCGATGGCCTGGCGCACGATGACACTCAATTGTGTTCTCAGCGTGTGTCCTATCCATCTCCATTTCCTTCAGAACATTTGATGGGTTATGGTTTCTTGGCTAGTTCGTTGTCAGAGTTGCCTGTAACCTGTCCTTTATGGCCTCCCATCCGATCTTAAGTGTCGAGTCGGTGAGGATATCTGTTGATGGAATTCTAAAATCTGTTGGAAATCCGTTCCATGAAGCGCGCGTCAAGTCCCTGAACCAAATACTTTACTTTTTCTTTACTTTACTTCGGCTATCTCCTACGGGAGGATGAGCCGGCTTCATGAACATCTCGAATCATCGCTGCCCAGGCGCGGCGATCTGATGAAGAGAGTTCATGAAGTTTCATGGGAATTTGGTATGAGTGATGTCCCCAGAATCGCTCGGCCTTTCGTTTGGGAGTGCAGCTCTAGCCTTTACACAACCAAGTGTGACCTACAAGGCAGTAGGAGTGGAGTAGGGAGTCCACTATCCATTGTCAGCCGGTGACCGGAGTTCGGTTCATACGCCTTTTTGAATGGGGCCAGACATCCAGGACATCCAACAAGCCCTTTGTCCATACGTCTGCCGGTGAGCTCCAGTGAGCTTCATACGCCAGTCGTTGGAGGTTTGGAATCAGGGTTTAGCCATCTCCCCTAGACTGTCATCCAATGGACAGTCAACCCGGTGAAGAGCGCCGGGCATCCGCTTTCGCCCTCTCACTTTGGTGAAAAACACCTCCGCCACGTGAAGGCAGTGAGTAGGACTTCCTCAGGAGAGGCTATGTAAGACGCCCGGTCATATGGGAGCATTTCAAGAGGTGTGCGGAGTGGTGGCCAACCCGCAGCGCAAGGCACCCACCCCCGACCATCCTGAGGCTTTGGAGTGGCTGACTGGATATTAGTCTTGAAGATCCTCATCTTGTTCCTAATGCTGAGTGCATTAAATGTCAACACTGATTTGAGTATAATGAAGGTCTGCCTTGTCTTTCCAACGCTGACTTCGACATCCTCATCCGTGCCACCAGTAGCTAGAACAACGCTACCTAGGTAAGAAAGTGGTAACTCCCTTCAAATATCACCCGTTGTTGGTAGCTGATGCTTATTGCATCACACACTAAATAATATAATACTCTGGTGTTGCAGATTACTTTAATCTACCGTAAGGGCCACAATCCATTTACTTTACATGTTTATTTGTGTACAAGGAAGGTGATAAGATAAATATCCATCTTGCATTATAGTGAAAATAATCAAAGAAGTTCATAATCTGTTCACAGTAGATCAATCCTTCAGCAGGAAACGTCATAACATCTGATTGAATGAAAAAATAATTTGATTTCGCCTGAAAATACGTTAATATGATTGCTGAGATGTATATTCATAATATACCATTCTACTTTAATCCAACTTTGTTGATCAATAGTACTATATACTACTGACTGATTGAGATGAGTAGTTGTATACCACTAACATCAATTTGAAACTGGATTCACGTAAAGTAGCCCTATATTAATGTTCATGAAAAAGCATGTGACTCTAATTCCTTCTAAATTTGTATCATTCATTAAAATCCATATGAAATTTAGAAAGTGATAAATCAAGGGAATTCAAGTAAATAGCTGGAATACTGACACTTTCTATGATTTAATGCAAGTCCATATTTAATAGATATATGCTCCATATGTGTATCTGCGACATCAATGTTTTAAACTTGCTGTTGTATTCAAGATGCCAATGAGGCTAAATATTAAAATATATACGAGTTACTTTTGTTGAATAAAGCCATCCTTGGGTTACAGGCCATGTTTTGCCTCTAGAAAAATTAGTGGCTCTGTAAAAGAGAGGGTAGGAAGGAGGAATAGCCGCATTCAGTATCATTAGTATCAACATCTTATTACATTCACTAGTTACATAAATTCTGTTTCTGTCAAAAAACAGAGTGAGAGAAATACACAGATCAACTAGAACAGAGTTCCTTTTCCTTTACTTCAATATCTACCATCCCTGTCTTTAGCATCTAGAATGATGCATCAATTTACTGAAAAATTATTTATATTTTAAGGTGGAAAAATTATATCGAGTAAAGTTTCACCATCTGACAGTTTATCTTCAAGTAACTCAGAAAACTTAAGATGAATCCAATTCATCAAAAACACCAACACTATAAAACCCCTCAACAAGAAGAAAACCAACATCATCTACAAAATAGACTGCATCAACTGCGAAAAACACTACATTGGCCAAAGTGGACGTCCCCTTCGTCTTCGTATCCACGAACATAAGCTAGCTGTCAAAAGACATGATATCCACTCCCTCATATCACTACATACAGACAACCAAGGACATCAATTCGACTGGGACAACGTTCAAATATTAGACAGAGGAAACAACAAGAATGCTAGAGAATTTTTAGAAGCTTGGCATTCCAGTGAATCATCAATCAATAGACACATCGAGATTGACAAAATTTATCAACCGATAAGAAAGAAACCTCACACACAAAGGGTCAAATTCAAGCAAAGAAACAAGAGTACACAAAACATCTCACAAAAAATACACCTATAATTCATTAAATAGTCAAGTAAACTGATCTCGTCTTTCCAACTCACATCATTTATAGGTACAACATTTTCTTCTTTCTTTTCCTTTTTCTTTTTTTATTAGATTACGAATGGTTTCAAATATCAAACATCGTCTAGTGATTGTTTCTGATCTTCTAAATAGGTATTCCCACCTAGATTTGTTGAAGAATCGCTGATTCCAAGGAAAATGCATTTAAACCTTTGACTTCTTATCTATACTTCAACATATAAAATTATTTACACGTTCGATTAAATTGGGTTATTTAACTTAGTGAAGTTGATAATTGAAACATCTTCTAGTTATAGACAGAATTCAGAATAAAATGTGTAAATAAGTTGGTTAGGTTGTGACGTCCTGATAGTGAGGATAATCTTTCGAAAATCACTGTGGATCATGTTTAGCGTAAGCGGGGGACAATTAAACTGTGACGTGAAACAGTAAGTGGTGTCCAGTATGCTGCAAAGCTATTCAAATTCACCAGGGTGATTAAGTCTAAAACTTTATCAGCATGTGGCATACTATCAAACTCTAACTAGATACGCTAAAATAAACACCTTAGCCAATGACTCGAAGAGACGTACTCAAATTTTTACCAATATTCGCTAAGCAGAAAAATCTCCAATCGTTGATAAATTACAATTTTTTCATCACGAATTGACATCGGTTAGAGAACTACTGGAATCCAGGGAGTACATCCTCCTTGTCTAGGATACTTCCGTAGTACACGGCGATCAACGACCGAACAGAGGACCTTCTAGTTGCAGGGCAAGCTCATGGGCGCTGGGATGGAATCCAAATGCTCATCGACTCTAACTTGTACCAATTAGTGATATATAGAGCAAATGCCAGCCAATGTCATCAGTCTGTATCTGTCTTCACGCAAAACTCAGTGGAATCTGGTGATCACGACTTCTCATCAGAATTTCTGTGAATTTCAAGCTATATTCAGTCACAAGTGACCAATAGATTAGTCTTCAAGCGTTGGTTTTCAGGGAATCTGACTGATTTCAATATTTTTTGTTGCCTGAATTGTATACAAGTTCGCCTTGTAATCTGAAGGTTCTAGGTTTGACATCTGGTAGGTAGTGTCATGGTTGTGCACTGTGGAAGAGTTCCAGACAAGGAAGAAATAGCTGTCCAGTACTCCCTGGTTTTCAGTGCTTCTCTAAATCACATCAGTTAGTGATCAAAAACAAAGAAAACACAGGAAAAGATCTGTAGGAACGTGTATCTTTCACCTTATTTTCCTGTTGGGATGACATTGTGGATGAAATTATGTCCACAGACGTTTCACCGTCTAATTTTCTTTGAATTTGTAACTTTTCAAGTTGTTCGTTGATTTCATTCAAACGAGATAACATACCAAGTGTTTGATTATCTAGCTGGTTGTTGGCTTCTTTCACTACCAACTGGTTAATTGATTGTTGGTCATTATGAAAGCTTTGTCCACTGACATCTGAAACATCCTGTTGACCCTTATTCATTGACTGACTGTTTCTCCTTGTCGCTTTTAAATGTGGCCATAATGGACCAGGTGAATTTCTTTTTGGTTGACAGTTATGCCTATTCGGTGAGATGTGAGCAACATACGATGCATCTTCATTTTCCTGTAATGAAAATTTTGAAAACCGATTCATCTCACTGAAATACCTGCAAGAGTCACATGGTTTTTCATTAACAGAGACACAAAATTAACAAAAAATGTTAAGAAGTTACACTGATATAACTTACGCAAAGGGGTTAAAGTTTAAACAAGAGATAAACATACAAAATTAATAGTCAGACGCATTAGACATTGAGTTGCCCAGTCAAGGAAAGAGGGGAAAAGTTGGTGATAAGTAACCAACCAGATGCGTAACAATGTGGTGAGTTCAATTCTAGCAAAAATGGAGGAAAGGTTGAAGTAGAAGATTACGTAGTCAAACAAGAGGAAGAGATTAGAATCTCAGTTTTCATGACAAGGAAAAACTGATAAGCGAATCTTTCTAAATACATAAATCAGACTTTAAACATCTGATAAAGATTGCTTTTGCAAATTTGCGGAGAGTGAAGTTATTGTAAGTGTAAGTTATAAAAGTAACTTTTGAGCATTCTTTATTAATTTTGTGTCTCTGTTAACCGAAAATCATGTAACCCTTGCAAGTATTTTAGAATTTCTCTGTACATATGCGCAATTAACTTTTAGGTTAGTTGTAAGCAGCTGAAGAGAAACCGACGAAGTCAGTGATGGCATCATCATATTTTGCACTAGGCTTTTGAACATGGTTAGTTTGTGCGAGTGGTTGTTCAGCTTAACCTTAGAATAAACCATTTAACTGTGTTGTTATTCATTCTTTTGAGTTATGAGTGGAACATAGGGCTTCACGCTTGAAATTCGCAGTATTTCTTACAGGGTAGATTGTTAGTTCATCCACTTCTCTCTTACAGGATTATTACTGGTCAGGTGTGGTTTTCTTTTAGCAGTGCGTCAGTTGGCAGTCGAACTCTGATCCTGTGTGTGGTCAGCGAACATCCTACCGTTGAACCACTGACACACATCAATAATATTCAAGTGTAAGGTTACAGGAATTTGATTGGTTTTTTAAGTTTGATAAGCAGTGCACACCCATGACCCCACCTGAGATCGAAATTGAGACCTTCAAATTAGCAGGGCAAGGTCGTCGACCATTCAGCCATTTGTGCCAGCTAACTTCGTACTGTCTCCTTACTATATTGAACAAGTGGATATGTATGTATTTCCACATAACTTATAAATATATTTACTGTATATTCATTATGACAAATACGACACACTAAAACAAATGGTGTCTGAAACTATGACCAGTAAATACTACTCTTTCAGCAGTACAGTTAAGAGATTAGGTTATATGGAATAATATTCTATATATATAGTGCAACAATTCTGCTCTTATATTTGTGTCAGCGACGTTAATAAAAGTTCGGTTTACTTGTGGAAAGAACTAAAGGAGATGGAAAAAGGGGGGGTTCGCACTTAGAGCAGTAAATTAACTAAAAGGAATGGATTAAATGAACTTAAGTGGAATTTTTCGCCTACAAAGCATTCCAAATTCTGTTTATTGTAAATCATCCCTGTAAATGACCATCACAAGTTATGTACATAATTAGTGTTTAGAAAATTAAAAAAAGCGACTGTGCGTGCATATCTCAGACTAATCAAACACTGATGAGCACTTACATTTAAGGCATTCTGAGGAATAATACTTCCTTCTTTATTAGCAGCATCTTCATCTTGATCAGCCAAGAGTTCTTCAATACGTGCCTCTTCTTCAGCTGTCATTGGCATAACATCCATCCATCGGGAGGCCAACTGTTGAACATATTTAAAATCCTACTAGAGAATGGATATCCACCAAGATTTATTGACAAAAACATGAAGGAGAAGCCTCCGATGTCAAACATCGCAACGGTTCCTAAGAAGACTCTCTTCATGAACCTAGAATTCAAAGGTGATGTCGCAGCGGAAATGCTCAGAAACCGCCTTTCTAAATGTCTGAAGAAGACATTTCCAACAGCCACTCTACGTATCACATTCTCCTGCAGACAGTTAATCCAGTCTAACGCTAAGGACAAGATACCGCTTTTGGCCACCTCAATGTGTATTTATCAATTTACTTGCTCGTGTGGAGCAAAGTATATTGGCCGTACGCAACGTCAAGTCCAAAAACGTATTCTGGAACACTGCCCCACTTGGTTGGCCAGAGGAGAAAAGAAGAATAGCAACAGCTCGATCCTCGAACACCTTGTCATCTCTGGATATCGAGCACCCCCACATGAATGCTTCACAGTGTTACACAGAGTCCCTCAATATCGTACAAAGGGACTTCGGATTCGCCATCTGTACATAGCTGAAGCATTAGCTATTCGAGATCTAAAACCGGACCTCTGCATACAAAAGCGATGCATACATTCTCTTGCCTTACCATGGCCAGAGTAAAGTTCTTATCACAATTTTGCTTCTTTCCTTTATTATGTAAGTTCACTATTATTACCATTATTATTTTATTTTATTAATACTTTTATTATCATTTTGTCCCCATCATCCACATTTTATTACCACTCTATTACTGTTTATTAATAACATTGTTTTTCATACATATTTTATACAAAAACACTTTATAGCCTTTCCACTAGTTCCTGTCCATTTTACACGAGATTATTGATTATTCACTATCTCACACTTATTACGTCATGCCAACTTCTGTCTCCTTTCTAACTTACAATTAGTCATCCCTTCTTACACCTTACATTATGTAATACAATTTTCCAAGGACAAAATTTACCAGTATCTGATTGGTCTAAAGATTTCTTTGTTAATTATAATTACGATTGTACAGCTCATGAAAATGAATCGTCGAAAAGAAAATTTTCTTCGCTGTTTGCGCCTTTTTCTTATATTTAAAAATAACAGAATCAGAGAATATCTACCAATTTAATAAAAGGCTTTGTTATAAAAAACCAACAATAAGGAGTTTTTCCAAAACATTTCGTGCGGTAGAAAAGTTTGACTGTTTGTTCTTCCTATGCACATCCCCTTGTCCCAACTAGTTATTAATTTAAATAGTTTATCATAGAACTGAATGGCTAATTCATCTTTTCGGTCTGTAATGATGGGTGAAGCTTACATAAAACGTGGATCTCAACCAATCCTTTCATATTCTTGATTCATTTAGTTGAACAATCCATCTTAAAACTCACATTCATGGCACACTGTATTAATAATTTTCTAATGATTTCTACTGGGATTCCAATATTTATTGACTTTTTATAAATTTTTTCACAAATGTAATTAACCAATTCAATTAGAGGCACATTTGTAAGTGGAGATGATATCTTTGGACGTATTGTCTTTATTTGCAAGTGTACCACGAAATGAGACGGTTTATTACATTTGTGAGCAAATAAACAACAAGTCAGTAAATATTGGGATCTCATTTGAAATCCTTACAGAATTGTTACTAAAGTGTAACAGGAATTATAAATTTTAAATTTGATGGTGGACTACATAGGTAATGGGCTTTCTGTTCGGTCCCCTGTTAGCAGATTTATTGCTCAGGAAACTAAAAAAATTAGTCCTTTAAACAACCTCATCATAAAATGCTCCTTTTAATGTCGGCATATGGATGATACAATAGTCATCCTTTGTGAAAATGATTTAGACAGGAACGCAATAATATCCTAGTTCAACGAAGTATATTCAGCTACTGAAAACGAATCTCTAAGTAAAATTGCTTTCTAATACGCACTACGGATAAGAAGGTCAAACAGTAGTATAAAATGGAATTCGCCTAAGAAAAGTACTTGGACCGGTCAATATACACATTTTAACAGCTACGTTTCTCTCCGGTGTAAAAGAAATTCCGTAAAGACCCTAATCCATAGGGTCAGAGCTACTTGTCCAGAAGAGGCAAATGAAGACGAACTTAAGGTTTTTATACGGCACGCTAGGCGAAAAATGCCACACTGGAAAGTTCATCACTAAACACATGGCTAAGAGAGTAGCGAAGAATTCTTCTGTATCTGTTAAATAGAAGCCTTTGTATATATGACTACAATTCAAAGGTGATATACCAAATGAAATAATAATCAACAAGTTGAAGAAATTGATTCTAAGCATATTTCATGCTAGTAAGCCTCAGCTTACATTTTTGAGACAGCTGGTTGTGATTCCGAAAATATACGAAGAAGCAGGTAGGCTAGCCACGGTTTATTGTATCTGTCAGTTCAAATGTTCCTGTGGAGCCATTTATATTGTCAGTTGCATACCAGGGTAGCAAAACAAAGGTGTTGTTAAGACCATTAAAAGATCTATGTTAGATCAGCCCAAAAAACTGGTATTGAAGAGTCTCTTTCTATCATCTATCGTGTATCGAATAAATTACCAAAGGCCTTTAAATAGCGAACATTCCCAACAGCAGAGGTCATTGCAATTCGTTTGGATTAACCATGGGTCTGTGTGCAAAAGAAGCAGTCCCAGTTACTGGTGTTACCCTGGTCAGCTACTGAGACTATTAATGCATAAATTCTGCGTTACTTCCTTCAGTTGATCTGATAATCAGTTTAGTGTTATATTGATGCGTACTATCAATTACAGGTATCTTCGAAGTGCAATCTACTGACAATAGTGATTTGATGCCATGTAAAACTTTAATGTTGCTATTAACACAAATTCTTTCATTATTACGGTTATACAACTGTAGAATCTAATGAAGAGGAAGAAGTTATTGAAAAGAAGATTCTTTGCTCATTGGTATGATAATGACGAAAAGAATGAGTCGTCAGTATAAGGTCGCTGGTAATTGTAGAGCTTACAGAGAAATAATTGTATTTCTTGTGGTTGGTGATTGGTATTGATAGGAGCGTTACTTTCCATTCTTATGTTTTCTGCACTTTTGAAAATCCTGTAAATCTGTCTTCAAAACTGTTAATATGGCACAAATATATCCCCACCGTGTTTTTAGTAGTTATGCTAAGCGTTTCAAAAGCCTTTTCCCCAGTTGTGCATAAATATGTCTGCTGTAGCCAGTGGTCTTTGAGGATTAGATAAGCAGACTTCACTTTCTTTGAACCCTGGTTATTACATTTAGACATATTTTATACTGCATTTTTGTTTCTTTTCCACTGAATTCATTCACCTGATTTAGGAATGGTAAAATTCCCTTATAAATGATATTTCAATTTTATAGATAGACACATGAACTCAGGGAACTTTCACTACTCTCAAGTCTGTGTGGAGGTCAACAGCACTCAGCATCAAAAATAAGATCCGGATTTTCAACTCCAATGTGAAGTCAGTGCTACCCACTATACGGATCAGAGACTTGGCGCGTCATAAAGAGCATCTCAAACAAACTGCAGACCTTCATTAACAGTTGTCTTCGCTCAATACTCAAGATCAGATGGCCGGCCAGAGAAGATCAGCAACAGGGATCTCTGGGAGCGAACCAACCAAGAACCGATTGTGAAACAAATAGGCAGGAAGAAATGGAGTTGGATTGGCCATACTCTGAGGAAACCATCAAGTGACATCACTAGACAAGCCATTGCTCGAGTGGAACCCGAAAGGGGAGTGGCGAGTTGGTCGTCAGTGCAAGGGTGACTTGGAGGAGGTCATGTGAAGAGGAGATGAAAGCGTGTGGGCAGACTTGGAGCCAGGTGAATACTCTAGCAGAGAACCGAACGCAATGGAGACGCACGGCTGAAGCCCTATGTTCCTCTAGGAATTAAAGGAAAATAATAATAATAATACATGTACTCAGGTAGACTACCCTTTCAGAGTGAGACCTTGCACAAAAATATAGTGTGGTGAGAGATGGCTTAGTAGACAGTAATTTACGTCAATGTTTACGTCCCCAATATTGGTCATGAGAAAAATAAGAACAAAGATAGATTCAACAACCAATCACAGCAGACTTTGCGTAGGCGGATACAATTTGCAGATAGATAATCTGAATCCACCAATCAGAAGACTGTGTTTGTTTGCTTACAATAATCTATAATAATGTACATGGAAATCTATAAATATGTGCGTCGGTGGCACAGTGGTTAGGACTCTCGCCGACCATGCACATGGTCCGGGGTTCGATCCCCTGCCGACGCACACCCGATATCTATGGTCGGCCTGCAAAATTTGGGCTACCGATATCCATGCTGAAAATTCCATACTTGTACTGAAAATACGGTGTGGAATCAAGCTGTAACCAAAAATAAAAAAATAAAATAAATTTCCTAAATAAACGATCTGTTGCCTGGCCCTTGTCTTCTGTTGTTACAATAGCAGTTCAAGCTACCACATTACATAAAAGCTCAAAAAGTTGTACACGGAGAATAATAAGGATTTAATGAATCTGGAACGTCATCATAAAAAGTGAATATATCTCAACTTTGTGTGAAAATTTATCCTCTGTATCTCTACTTATCGTTTCTTAGCATGTCAAAGAACCCAGTAAGGCAGTTTACATCTACATTTGTATTATTATTCCCTTAGGTTCTGAGTTGGGCATAGGGCTTCTATAGCATACCTCCTGACCTCTGAAGTCCACTTCACCTCGTTCCACAATTTCCCACAAGCCCTCACCGACATGAACTAGTTTCCCACTGAGATTCCACTCGACTGACAGCTTGATACGAAATTTAACTCGACCGTCTCTTCAGCGTGAGTCCGACTCATCTTTATTTTCTTCAGGATATTTGCTGAAGGATGTGTTCTTGGTTGGCTGATTCCCAGAGTCTCATGTTGCTGATTCTTTCTGGCTGGTTATTTGGTCTTCATTATGGGGCTAGCGAAGGTAGCTGTTGATAACAGTCCACAGTAACTTGTTAGAAATACTCTTTGAGACGCTCACACCAAATTTTTGACCCGTAAAGGAGAACTGACTGAACTGACATTGGTGCTGAAAATTCCAATTTTGCTCTTTGTTCTGAGTGCAGAATAGTTCCTTTCTGATTTCACAGTGACGAAGGTGTACCTGGCCTTTCTGATTCTGGCTTTGACGTCTTCATCCGTACTGCCTATAGGTGAAATTATACCTCCTAGATAAGTGAAGAAATTAACCTCTGTCAACTCTCTCCCGTTGACAGCGACTGGTGCTAATGGTTGTTGACTGATTACCTTCACCAATCCCATCCTCTCTATCTTCATTTGAAGTCTTGTCTTTGCTACCTGCTTATTCTGCTAGTTTGTTGGTTTTCACCCTAAGTTTTAGAATTTCCTAATATGAGATATAAATTATCCGAGAATAACAGTTCTTCTAGAGTCTTCTTATAGGTTCAGCGTATTCCTGACTTCTCGCTCCCAACGCACAGTGTGCCGGATAATCCAGTCCACCAGAATTGGAAATACCATCGATGATAGCAGATAGCCTATTCTTACTCCTGTATTTACTTCAAAGGCTTTGCTTAGTTTTCCATTGTGGATCACTTGACATATGGCATTGTTATATAGGTGTTGAATGAGGCTGATGAAGATCTGAGGCACACAACCCCAAGTGACTGGCTCACACCAACAGTCAGAGACTTTAGTGATTGGTACTATAAATCTTATATCAGCTAACATTACTTATCGAGAAAGGCTATGATCCAGTATACTTTAAAAATGTTGCACCCATCTCAGTCAATGCAGCTTCACAGCGTCATCGATTAATTTTTTCTTCTAACCTAGCACTCTGTGCATAACCTCATCACTAATGACAACATTATAACACTTAAAATGGGAGACAGAAGGCAGTTCCCTATGGTCAAACATAGCTAGCCTCGTAATATCTTTGACTTTCAACGTCCGTGTCCCATAGCTGTGAAGAAAGACGGAACAGACTGATGCTGAGTACGCGCGTCTTTTGACCGACAGCCATATGTTACACTTGCACCAAAGATGGCGGGATTTGGTTAACGCCTAATGAGCCTTTTGCATCCGGGGTGAGATTTAGTCCGACATCACTCCATTAGTACTGATGCAAGTTCTCAAATAAGTGAATTCGCCAACACATTTAACCATTTCGCAGGAAATGATTAGATGCATGAAATTTTCTTGGTTTAGTCACGCTAATCCTTCTTACAATTCATTATCTTACTTTGTGTAACACCGTCTGTCACTAGCTTAAGTTATAACACTAACTGATACTTCTATCTCATCTGATACTCTACATCTAACGACAACATCGTTCACTATACAGTCTCATCAAACACACACACATAATTAGTCAACCCAAATCCACAACAATTACAAACAGTAGCGCTGTTAAATGCACACTGAATAAGATGGCGGATTGGTTATATTTTGGTATGTTTGGAATAGATGATCTTCTGAGTTGACATATGGATAATGCCTATAGTTCTTCCGTATGGTCCTTTGAGTAATTCTTACTTATTATCTTCATAAACATTTCTAGGTGAATTAGTCAGTCCGTATTTTCTGGAAAAATAATAAGAGTAATCCTCAGTAAGACAGATGGCTTGATTTCAAAGGCACTGTCAACTGCACAGCTGTTCACTACTGTGTGTCTAGCATTTACCTGCAGTACTGACTTTCTCTGTCCCTTCGAAACCAATGTCAAATAAGGTAATTATATATATAGTATTTTACCTCAATATTACGTTGAATAAAATTCTTATCGCTTCCTTTTGATTTCTTATTGAATGGATTAAATACACATTCTGTAAAAGATGAATTCTGATGATATTCTGACTGCCTCAATTGATTATCTTCTGAGAATGTACTTGAATTCACGCCAGTCCCTGTTGAACCAGAATTATACAAAACAACTGCTATTCATTCGATATATATATATATATAATTATCCATTTTACTTATTGCAAGCAAATGATCAATCAGCTTAAAATAAATCGTAGACATATTACAGTTGATATACTAGGAACTCATGCTGATCACTTTAAAATTACTGCTCAAAATTCGCTAAAGGCCTTCCCACTTAACCTTTCAAGAGAACTGCATCATCTGTATACATTAAGTTAATTGTTAAATCTGCTGTCAGCGTATTATGTTTCATGCAAAGCCAGAGAAGTAGAAAAAGACCTTTACAAGTTTCTCCATTAAGAATTTGAACTGATATTTAAGGAGGGAATATCATGGATACAGACCACCTCAGTTAGATACTTTGCAATAAATCTTATCAGAATCCATGAGAGAGAGAGAGACAAAGAGTGTCTGAGTAAAGGCCTTAACATGTATCATTTTTACTAGTTGATAATACGAAATGAAGAACACAACATCGAAATCCGGAGCTGGTTCACAATTCATGAAGTAAAGATAATATCCAATGTATGTATACATACCTCTGTTCCAATACGTGAGGCAGAATTAATATCGGATTGATACATCCACTTCAAAGGACAGGATTTGCCTTGTAATATGTTTCCGTAGTTCAATGGAGCATTTTGTGGTTATGTAAACTGCATGCTTTCTGTATGTGATCTTGAAAGTTGTTTTGTTATCAATCTTATGATTTACATTGTAGTAGTAAATAACTTCCAAAATTATTAGCATAAACTATTCTTGTCTCAGCATTCGATGCCGACCTTCACTTCTTAAGTTTACTCGTTAAGCTGAAGGTTCGCGATCAAGCATCCACACCTATTGGCACGCTCTCATGTTACGTTCGGTAATTTGTTCAGAATCCTTAGCTAGCTAAGGAGTTATCATCGTGCTGAGTTTCTGATCCTCAAATATGTCTCTTATTCTCGACAATCAGTTTAGTGTTTTGATTGGTCTTTGGGCTAGGAAGAACAAATATTATAGGAGTTAGAAGATAAGAACTTGTGTTTGTATGAATCTTACTTTGCGTAAGCGTCAACATCTCCTAAAATTTCAATAATAAATTGAATTGACAAGTAGATAATTGATCAGATGCTCCGAAATGTGCTGCATAAATTCATCACATACATCACATGCTTCAGACACACTTCCAAGTTATTAAAGGAGCTAACTGTTCTAAGTTATTATTAAATGTTGAATATTGACTTTTGGTTTGATGACATACTCACCTTCATCAAGTAACCTATTTATTCTTTCTTCTTTTTCCTTCTCCATGAGCATTTCAGCTCTACTTATACACTCCGTTTTGAAAATAGAATTAGATGAAAATCCGCTTTCTTCTTTATCGTCTACAGCCACACCATTCTGATGTATAAATTTGCCTTTTTTCTTATTCACTGTAAAATAGTGATTCAAAATATGTTAAATAAAACTTTGACTACTTTGAACAAATAAAAGTAGTAAGCGTTTTTAAGTAAAATATTGTTGGGACATTAAGTTTCCTTAACTAGTTTATGTTTTTCTGTGATGTCGACTTGGTATTATACACAGTGGCCTAAGACATACAGAGTGAGTCGTAAGGTTGACGTGTGATGTTTCAGATTTCAATGTCAAAATTTCCATTTCTCAGTGGATTCACACAGTGTTTAGATTTCTGTGTTGGAAGGTCCTTCAAATTGGTCGCACAGAAAACCTGGTCTAGTAGACTGGAGATCCTGGTGTAGATGTGGGTTTGAAATGATGATGAGGCCCAAACTGGGGCAAAACATCTCTCTAGTACCCGTAGGTTTTTCATGATTCATTAACTGAGGTCATTTCACAATTTATCACAATTAAACCTCTGAATTTAATCCAAATCCCTATAAAAAATCCATAATCTAAATTATTTACGTGAATAAATTTTAAAATGACGAGTTTATGGTTGCCATTATATGAACTCTTTGTGTCATTAAGACAGAGGACGAAGACAGCTTCGAAAACTACTACTTTTACGGCCATTTATTACATTACTTTTATCACTACTACCAGCTATTACTGCTCACACCACTTAATACAATCTAATTAATTACTTACTTGAGTACCATAATTCCGTTTCGATAATGACGTGGCACCAGTTAGAGAACCACTGGAAAACCAGGGAGTACTGGACAGCTGTTTTGACCTAGCTCAGGACTCTTCAATGGTACACATCTATTGAGGTTCGGGACCAAGACCTTCGTGTCACAAGTCGTACTGCTGGAGAGCTGCAAACCAAGAAGCAAAAGCAGTTCAGTTCTTTCTGGTTTTCCAATGGTTCTTTTACTGATATCAGCTTGTGATCAAACCTGTGATCAATCAAATCCCTAAAAACCAACATTTGAGAATATTATAATAACAACTTTGGTTGTAATTGATATAAGTATGATTACGGAATCCTTATTCATCGAGTCTACACCCAACACATGCAACAGAAGTGACTCAATTCAAATACCAGAAATATGGAAGATATTATTACCGCCGGTCAAATCAGAAGAGGATAATAAATAATCTCAATTCAAACACATCACAACATTCTAACAAATAACTTATTATGACTATAAAAACACTCGTCGTATTTCCCATCTAAATGTAATGGATTAGTAACACTCGTACTATTATTTCTGAATGTACATTATCTCATATTGAATTTTATTCCAATATCTAATCGATTCCACACATGTATATAAATGAAGGAAAGAAGTTGTGTGAGTAACTTGATATGATTATGAGCAATAGTTTGTGCTCGAAACGTCATCAGTTAATATAACTGTACAACACTGTGTGATTTATCAAAATAAAATCTTATCCATTATGAACTTTGGTTGTTATTCTCGCCAAGTAAAGTGCCATTGAAGTTGATGCATGATATCCAAAGCTGAGACCAAATGACTTTAGTGTGACGAGTAATCAAAACAGTAGAACACTTAAATCCTGAGCTGTAAATATCAAAAATATAATCTAGTTTTCCTTGAGTGGTAAGTGACCGATAAAAATTAACATGAACTATCGGATAGCAAGTCATTGGCTTGCTGTAATATACAATACTCTTTGGTTATATATTCTAAGAGACAGTCTGTGAACATTACCAAAAACCTAAGGCGCCTTGGTTTTCAATATATAACCAAACGATGTCAACTGGTACTATAGAAAAGAAATTGGTTTGAAAACAAGTTATAAAAGGCTTCGAATTTAAATCTAATTAAAACTAATTTGAATTACCTTTGGTATCACCACACAGTGATGACTGTAACTCATTTGATTTTAAAAATTTTTTAATATTTCGACATATTTCATTTGAAAGAGGATTGAATTGCTCAAATGTATCACTGGCTAATACCAGTTGATTTGGATTTTCTCCAACGTTATCCAACTGACTGTTATGTTTTTCCATATTTTTTAGTTTTTGAATAGATTTTATATTAGGATATAATAGATTAATGAATTCATTTTCAATTTCTCTATGTAAAATTCGAGTTTTCTCTTTAACCTTTAGAAAGTGAGATACCAGTAATAAGCGTCAATAGTATTTAATTAAGGCGTACAACATATTCAGTGTATCAATAATAAGGAATGCATATTTAAATATATGTTATACAAAACACAACACGCCATATTGTCTGAGTTACTGGAAGCCAGCTAAGAATGCTACAGGGCCAGACTGAATTTCCCTAGAAGCACCGGAAATGAATCCAGAGACCTCAGCAGATATCCTTAAGCCACTGTTGCTGAAAGTTTGGAAGAAAAGAAAAAGACCTACTGATTGGAAAACAGGCTAACTTGTCAAACTACCAAAGAAGAGAGACTTAGGCTTTCGGAAAAATGGCTTAGTGTTACATCTCAAATAACGGACCCTGCAGCCTCTTAAAGGTACCTCTCGCTTCCAAAGAGCCAGCAACTTGATAGCTTAGCGATAAGACATGAATCAGGACTGGTAAAGGTCAAATGAATGACTGTCAACTACTTTTAAACTCTAGTTTCCTGGAAAGAGACATTTCACTGAGTGATTTAATGACTGGATCAATAGATGTCAGTCATATTTTAGCAATAACTTCGCTATCATCCAGGTTCTACACACTGCATCATAATAAAAATAATTATTATTAATATTATTACTGATACAATAAAAGCTAACGCTGTTACGCCGATTGGTGATGCCATTCTTCTAAATTTAAATAAGACACTTAAACATCTCATGAAAACAGATCGCCTAAGCGAATGTTTCATTTTCCATGTCAAAGTGACGGTTGTAAGATTAGGATTCAATTTTACTCTGAGTTACAAAGTCCAAACTTTATTTTACAGAGCAAACACTCGAAATCATAATTCCATTATGGAGCATCATCAGCAAATATTACTATATAACACACTGTGTGACTTTATCAAAAGAAAATTTTATCCCTAATGGAATTATACTCTACCACAGTACTCAAGTTTTATCCTTATATAAATTATACTCGAAATCATACATGTGAGATTTGACAGTTTAAAACTATCAAACAATCATGAATGATCAAATTTAAAATTTTGGGTTTTTTTCCACCATCATACCTCCTTTTCCTCCCTCAGTTTACTATTTAATATTGTATCCAATAGTTTGATTCTCTTTTTCCCCTTGGTAATTTTCTCATCTTCTCTACTTTTTGCCTGTTCAATATTCAGTGGCTCATATATGTCATTTGTTTTAAAATGACTATCAAATAAATGATTGATTTCTTCAAAAGTTTGATTAATCTCTTCAGAATCTACAATTAAAAAGTAATAAATTGGATCTATCCATCCAGAATGTTAAAATTTTTATCAAAACAGTTGCATAACAAGAATACATCACTCATATATGAAGAAAAGCTGACAAGGAGTAGATAATTAATAATGGATTAGAATTCTTTTTATAAACCCTTTTGACAAAATCATGATTAAAAAGCTTCATTAAACTGTTAATCATACTGTTTCAATATTTCATTAGTGAGCGGATAGACATCTTATTCGAAATAAAACGCCAACCTGACTTTAGAAATAATTCCAAATTTAGTCTGTTTGTACACTGACAAACCATCGATCTGTCAGAAAAGTAAGCAGGAGCACAAATGTATAAAGTCTTACAAAAATTTGAGCACTTTTACAGATGCAGAAGCGAAGCGAATCAACAGAAGCAGAATAGTAATAAAAACACTGAATACCACTGTTGCACCTACCTAAGAAACATCAAATAGAACAGTACTCAAGTATTTAGATCAGAATCACTCAATGAAGATACTCACAACTCTCCAGTACTCCTTAGTTCTGAATGGTTCTCTAACTGATATGAATCTGTAATCAAATCTCAAATATTCTTATCACTTGTACATTTTGATTTATTCGTTTACTAAATGACAATAATCCTGACTCCTCTTTTCAATTAAAACTGTATATATAAGCCACTAAGGTAACTGTCATCTTTGAAGTGAATTTAAAAAAGAGATTTTGAAAAATGTCTTACATCCTCATTCCGCTTCATGGGTCTTCCTAGTAGACCGAAAACAGTATTTGATTGATCTCTTAGACATTATTTCGTATTCCTGTGGTGCAAGTGTATAACCACTGTATTCTTTGGTTGTAATCAGTCACTTAAAATATGCTCAGAGCCAGTTATACACGGGTTGCTGCAGTATGTAATACGGTTTTGGGTTAATAAACATTAGTCAGCCAATCCATCGGCCTACGTGATCGATGAACCAGACAGTATCAATACAATCCAACTTATGGATCAAACAACCAGATAGTGAAGCACAATAAAACAATAATCCAAGGAATACAAATATCAGTTTGCAGTACTACTTTCAGGTCGAAATCTAGTGACACAAATTGAAATGTTGATAGACTCAATACAAAAGTTCAGTTCGAGAGTTTAATAACTCGGAGATCAGAACTATTTTCTGTCTCAGTTAATGATTCAAACCACTTCAAAATAAATTCTCTACACTGTTATCTGGATCACATAAATAGGAAATTCTTATGTCACAAACTCTTATCAAACGAACATCGATATCAGTTGGACGAACTGAGTAGAAACAGAAATTAGGTTATGATATGCCCTTGGAAAATATGCTCGGAATAAATAAGATCATACAGATAAATATTCATTCGTTTAACCTGATAGAGAGTAAACTTTTAGAACAGAAAGCAACAGACGTAGTTTCAGCGGTTTAAGATATTTTGAAAAATAAAACATAAATCATTTATAAGTGCACTATAGGAAAGGGGAATGCAAACGCATCTTCAGTTGCATAGCAAAACACTTATTAGACTTAAGGCGTTTGAATGGCTTTCAAAGACAGCTCAAAAATCCTCAAGAAAGAGCATCAGCTCACTCAACAATACTAAGGTCTCAGTGTTCCAGAAGTAAGTCTAAATGGTGTCTCTGCGGATGCCGTAATAAACAGGTGATGTATCCTCATAAATCCTAGCATGTGTAAATGTACTCGTTTTGGTAACCAACTAACTATTTTTGTTTTCTTCCTCAACTGGATTAGTTGACTTCTGTTTCATTACTATATAAGATGGTGCCTTTTCTTACATTCCTTCATGTTCTGATTGGGACATAGGGCTCCAAGCCTTAGGCTTTTCAGTTTCTGTAGTGATGCTTATCAGGTAGAAATAATCTGTGTGGTGTTCTACAGTTTCCAATTCCTCTAACAGACTTTTACTACCGGTATGCATTCACAAACCAGGTATGCTATAATTAAGTCGTAAAATAAAATGTTTCTAACAGAATGACTAGCATCCACATACCTGATGTTTTGTGACTGAAGACAACTAATAAAACTCTTTTTGACTGAAATTTACTGTCAATCGTTAACTAGGGGTAACCTGGGTCTTGACTAAAATGTGCTTCATTTATTACGATAAACATGCTACTTAAGAAGAGAATTTAGAGAAAAAGGTATCTGTGAATATTTTCAAGTACGAAATCTACACTATTCACTTAAGTATTGTAATACAGAGAAACTCACCGGTCAGTGAAAATGTAGAAAATGGTAACTCTGTCAAATAATTATATCCTGAGTCTATATCTTCTTTTACAGCATCCTGAAATTTTAAAGAAGATTGACAGTGAAAATGGAAACTCAAAATATTTCACCATTGTTGTTAAGAAGAATAAAAACTAAATTGTTTTCATCTAAGATTTATTTGATCATATCTTTTCAACTTTCCATTAATTTAGAAAATAGCTGGGTTTCATATAAATCATTTTTTGATTCTAAATTTGTCTGTTCTTGGTGTTTCTGGTTCTTAAACCGTCCAGTCCACTGTCTTCCGTCTGGATCAATTATTTCAATCACAGAATCTTGTTTGATGTAGTTTTGTTCAAACTGTGCTTTCAGGATGTACCCATTTGGCCAATAATATGTACCAAATCCATGCATTCTACGGGTGGAAATTAAAAAAAACGTAAACTGTGTATAGGTCTTAGAAAATGAACAATACGGGTCAGTAAAAATTAGACTATAAAAACTTGTTTTTCATCTGAAGTCGCCTTTTCATAATATTGATAAATCCAAGGGATGAATCACAGAAATATTCATTTATGGTATTGTCACTTGCCGAAACTTTGTCAGGTGTGTTAAGTATGTCATTAAGGTAGTCTGAAACCTTAAAACACTCGGAGAACACCATCATCATTTCAGTAGTTAAGACCGGGCTTAGAAACTACTGCCCCACCAGTATTTCTACTAGACTACTCGGCAGATTTATTCGTGATCCCATTGAGAGTAGTCAAATTCTAGCTGAGGAACAATGTAGTTGTAGAGCAGATCACGCTTGCTTAACCAATCTCCTTTCAGCCTGAGGAAGCTGGATTAATACAACTGATGCGGATAGTCTGGTGGATGTTATTTTCTGAAACTTTGGCAAGGCTATCGATGAGGGTGACTCTTCTGATCCTCTAATGATGCTAGGTAATTATGAGATGAATGGAATGATCAGTTACCGAACTCAGGATTTCCTGAGGAAAAAAGTCAAAAGGTATCAGTTAACGGCGTCCTGTCAACACGGTAACCGATGACAAGCAGGGTGCCTCAACGTACAGTTCTGAGTCACACTCTCTTCCTAATATATACAGATAAGATGTTGTTAATAATAATGTCGTTCTGCTAAACGTTAGCGGACGCTAACAACCTCCGGAGAGATTTATGCAGTGATACTGATACACTTAATTTGCAAAGACATTTATATTTGGTGGTATAGGCAATGGCCTTTAGAAATTAATATATACGAAAACGTAGTTATCCATGTCACTCACAGCAGCATGTACAATCACCCAATAAATGATTGTATTTCACAAATGGATACAAAGTGGATAGATTTAGGCGTAGCTATAAATCATGATATGAGAAGCTCAGAAAACTATAAAGCAGCGGCACCGAATATTTTTAGCGTATTATAGACTGTCCGCTAGACCTTTACTACCCATGTTTTTAAATATTTTGTGCAGTATACCAGACAACATTTCAAATATGCCATCAGATAAGCCCAGACTTGGAACTCACCAAAAAATGACTTTAAACAGTGCGGACTAAATCAAATCTACCATGCAAAGCCTGCCTTATAGCAACTGATTTTATCAACTAAGAGTATTTCCAACTTCGTAGCTGCTGTGAGGTGACCTCCCATTACTATAACGCACCACATCTAGTGACTCGGAAGTCAGTTTGTTCTACTTAAATTGGATTAAAGGAAACCCAAAAGTCTTCATAGAACTGTGGACCAGTGAATGATATTGTAACAGCCGTCACCTAAGTTCAACTTATGTTGGTTCGTCCAAGTCACTGGTGAATTTCTACTGCAAAGCAAATATGAAGCATTAATATGGGCTTGAAAACTAGTATCTCTAATGATGTAAAACGTAAATTGCTATATACATAATCCTTATAAATCTGCACGACTGTACTGAAAACCGGGTTTTACCAGACCCCTGAGTAAATTAACCGAACCTTAAAAACTGACTAACTTATTTTCTTTGAAGTTGCCTTCGTAGTAGGATCCGGAAGCAAACTCCACTTTTCCAAGTCCATCTATCATATCATTCACCCAATGCCCTGTGTAGCAACCATGATATAGCCCTGACTCCCCGAATGAATCAGTAAGCATTGAAATATCAAATTCTTTTTTGTTTTGACAGCTAAGAATGAACTTCACAAGATGTTTCGACGACTGCACCGAAGTAGTATCATTCTCTATGTCCAATACTCCACTCCTAAACTTGCTTATAAGTTTACCTTCACCATGACGTTTTACTCCTGAATACCCCATAATATACTCTCCCTCATAATAGTCACCATTGGGGAAAACAAACTGATTCCACAAAATTTTCAGCCCTTCATCTTTGGTCATCTTAAAGTTATGAGACGCTTCAGTATCTAATTCTTGATTGAACAAAACAACCATTTTCCGCATCCAATGTCCAATGTATTCCTGTTGAGCTTGTGTGCACTTCTTAATTTCTTAGGGACTGCCCCGTCATCGTGAAAAACAATTTCATGTCTTGGATGGATTTGGATACAATATATCCAACTGCTTGTCAGCTGCCGGTATCGTAAGCACAGTAGGCGTCTTTGTGATGATTCTCTTATGATATGTCCGGTAACGGCGGTTATCCAATATCCAATATCGCTTTTACGAGCTAGTATAAACCAATTTGATTTCTTTGTGCTCGCCTCTTGATTGTGAGGTATATGTTCCTGATCTTCGGTAAACTTCTGCGTAGCTCGTCCCTCCACTCGACTGTCGTAGCTTTGGTTGATTCCAATAGGAGTAGTGCAGGGATTAATTATATGTGGTTTGTAGTATGAGGTGTGTTAAGACTGTTACTACTGTGAATGGAATTGATCCTTTCACCAGTTAGTCTTCCGGTATCGTCATCAAAAGAAAAGAGATAATAATAAATAATAATATATAATTAATGAAGTTATTCAGACTAACAGACAGAAAAAGGAATAAAGAAAACGTAAAACAGACAGCTGATTAAATTTGAAGAATAATATGAATAATATATATCTACCGATAATAATGATAATAATAATAGGTGTCAGGAGAGTAGGACGGGAGAGAATGTAGAGAAGCAAAACGACAAGTTTAACTGTCTACCACCGAATGGTGTATGCGATTTTAAGGGGATAGGCCATTTGGATGCAGTCCTTGTGTTGCTGCATGGTTGTCCAGCCTTCGCTTAAAGGCGTCCACAGGAGGTGCCATAGCTACATCTACCGGTAAGGAATTCCAGGGACGGCAAACCCGCAGGGAAAAGAAGTGGGGGCGCACCCGGGTCCTTGCCCTCTGATGAGCTATCTTTCTAGGATTTTTATGAGGGAGCCTATACCTACTCAATGGCAGAACACCTTTGTTTGGGTGATTCTGGTCATTTGTTATTTTGTAGGCAGTAATTAAATGCTCTTGCCTAGATTACTAGGTCACTAGTATTCTAACCGGTCCCAAGCCCGGATAAAGAGGGAGAGTTAAGGCGTGGTGCTAGCAACTCCACCCCCAAAACTTAACCAAATTCCTACTAAAACTTCAACGCACAAACATATTAAAAATTCTAAAAGTACAAACAATAACCTTATTTTTCGCTGGAATCGAAGAAGTGAAATGACGCAGGCTGGTGAAAGCCTTCGGGAAGCCAGTCAGCCGATGTGCCTTCTTTCGATGAAAGCAAAAATAAGGATGGCGATGTGGAATGTTCGTACAATGTACGAAACTGGAAAGGCTGCTTAGGTAGCCGCAGAAGTGAGTAGGTATAAAATAAAAGTATTAGGAATCGGCGAGAGCAGATGGAACGGATATGGAAGGTGCCAACTGCTAACTGGAGAGACAATAATCTACTCCGGTCACCCAGAGGACAATCACGAGCACACCGAGGGAGTAGCCATCATGATGTCACCAACAGCAGCCAAAGCTCTCATGCAGTGGGAACCAATCTCCTCCAGGATAATGACAGCCAGGTTCAACTCAAAAGGAAAGAAGGTTACAATCATTCAATGCTACACGCCTACAAACGTCTCAGAACAAGAGAAGGAGGATTTCTACAGACAACTACAAACAGTAATGGATAACGTCCCAAAGAGCGATATCAAAATCCTGATGGGTGATATGAATGCGAAGCTGGGAGGAGACAATACAGGAAGAGAACTCACCATGGGTCGTGAGGCCCTCGGTGAAATGAACGAAAATGGTGAGCTCTTCTCAGACTTCTGCGCCTTCAATGATTTGGTGATTGGTGGCAGTGTTCAAACACAAGGACATACACAAGGCGACATGGATTTCACCAGATTGACACACCGAAAATCAGATAGACTTCATTTCAATCTCAAGGAAGTGGAGACGGAGCCTACTGGACACAAGGTCAAGGAGAGGAGCAGATGTGGGTTCAGACCACTATCTAGTACAAGGGATTTTCAAGGTGAAGCTAAAAGCCTCGAGGATAGCTGGGGATAGGCCACAATGCAAGTTCAACACGCAAGAACTGAAAGACACAGCCACACAGGATATTTTCACTGCACCTGTCAGAGCAAAGCAGGAAACACTACGTGGCACCACTGAGGAATCATCCGTGGAAGACCATTGGAACTCTCTGAAGGTAATTTTCAATGAAATGTGTTCAACGGTTTTAGGAAGAAGGAAGAAACAGGACGACAAGGAATGGCTATCAACGGACACTTGGAAGCTAATAGAGGAGAGGAGAATGGTGAAAGAGAAAATGATTCAAAGCGAAGATGGACAAGAATAATAATAATTTAGATTTCGTATATGCAGGTAAGTTTACATGAAATGCATGCCATTTTCCCATTAGCTTTTGTTCTCCTTTCTTTGTTACTATTATATTGTTGCTCATATATTCTATTACAGACTAATTTTATATATCGTATCCTGTGGTGCACTGTTTAAATATGTGAATGCAATGCTGTTCTTTTTTTATTTTATTTCTTTTATTTCTCTTTTTCTTTTTGTTGTTGTTGCTTTATATTTCTAAATCCTTATAAAATTTATGAGGTAATTAGATGCAATATTGTAATGAACGCTGAAAATTCCATACCTGTACCACAAATACTGTTTGGAATAAAGCCATTATTATTATTATTTTTACAGGCACGATCAATTATGTTATGAATTACAATTGTGAATTAGCATACATTATCACTTTTTTAAAAATTTCAAACTGTTGAATTATATAGTACAAGCAATCGGAACAGATTGTTATTATTGTTAATTTGTAAATCCTTCACGAAGGTCTCCATCGAAGTTGAGCGACAACCCATACTTCTTTCCATTACCTGATGATGATAGTAATGGCCCATCGATAAACAAAATATATATTTGTTTGAGTACTGTGACCCCACGTTCTTGAACGCTATTTCGGGAAGAGGAGAAAATCCTCCACAGCTACAAAGTGGTATAAAATGCAATCATGAATAATACATTATTGGAAATATATTTACAGGAAAAATACAAGAATAAGCTATGCAGTACTCGATATGATAGTGCACATTTGCAATGTATGATGCTAACCATATTGGTCTTACCGTAGAAAACTATGACGTTTTCAATGAAAATAAAGTTATTCTCAAACATGAGTGCTGTTGTTATGTTTTTTACCATCAGAGCAACCGAGCTTTATGCGAGAGAATAGTGTGAATGAGAAAAAAGTAAAAATGTAAATTTCAGCTTTATTAAAATCCTAGGCAGTTGAGATAAAATAGAGTATAATAGTAATTAGGTAGAAGGATTATCGTGAAGTATATAAGTAACATTTCAGAGAGAAGTGGCTAGAAGGACTAGAACCTGTTGAATACGGTGACCTGTAGGATGTTTGGCGAACTTGTGTATGGCCCATGGGATAGCATCTTGACAAGAAACTGAGCAGGCTTGTAGATGTTAGGAGCGAAAGCATTATTTTTTTACAAGCTAGAACTGTACAGTCATTATTGTTTTAGTTTGTTTTTTTAAAATGTTTTTATAAAGTCAATTTTTTATACTTTCAGTATCTAAACTCATGTTTAATTCTCGAGCTGCCAAAATAATGCATGTTGCTGTCCTACAGATCGGAGCGATTCACATTTGTGACCACTACCAAATCTGCCGATCAGCATGCGCCACCCTCCCTCCTTTTTTGACATTAAGCTCTGAGACCTTTTACAATGACTGCAGTTGTAATATTGCATTGCTTTGACTCCGTCCCAATCATACAGTATGCTGCACATTAACAGCTTTCATGACAAGTGCTTCCCATTAGGTCACATGGCACAGTAATACCAGAGGACATTGTTAGCAGTATTATCATCATACTAGTGAACAAGTGGATTACTACAAAAGACTAAGAAATTAGGTTTCCCTTAAGAGTTGTGAAGGAAAAAATAGCTAATTTTAGAGCAACTTAGTTATATTCTATTTAGCAGAGTGATATGGGTAGTGGAACAATTAGTGATAAAGTTATGTAAAGTGGTCCTGAGAAAAACAACTGGCTAGCAGAACTTGTTATGCTAAATTTTCACGACCGATTTTATATGGTGTGCGTTACACATTGCAAAGTGACTCATCAATTACATAATGGAAAAATGCTACATAATGTCAACAATATGAATTTTTTAGAAAATTATATGAAAATGGGTAACTATTGACTGAAGATAGTCATTTCAACTCGAAAATAGTACTACTAATATTAATAATATATCTGTAGCAGACGCCTAGGAAATTGCGTTTAAGAAGTATGAAATTTAGAATTAGCTGGTATTACAGCAACTAAGTTGTAGTCTATTTAGCAGAGTAAAAAGTGTAGTGGAACAATTAGTGATAAAATTGTGTATAATGATCCTGAAGAAAACAGCCGGTTAACAGAGCTAGTTATACTAAATTTTTCATGACTGATTTTCATACGGTGCGCATTAGATACTGCAAAGTAACCCTTCAACTTATATAATGTTGAAAATACTGCGAAATATTATAAAGATTATACGTTTTAGAAAAGTATATGAGAAAACGTGGTTATTGGCTGAGTAAAGTCATTCAGACACAAAAAATAGCATTGTATTATTAACTGTATATACATATGTAAAATATTCAAAGGTGTGGTTGCTAATATAGTTGTTTCTAGAAATACTTATATTAACATAACTTATTGAGGACTATACAGAAAGGAAAATCAGTAAATTAGTTAAACGTTCGCTGCGTAAGTGGTAGAGTCGAGTCATATGTAACTGACTGAGCTGAAGACTGGACCAGCTTTTACTTACCATTTTACCAACATTTGTGGTCTTTTAGACAAGCTAGGGTGGACATGTTAATGTGTCTCTCTAGGCTCCGTTTGAACCCATTGGGGTTTTCACATCTAATTTCAGATGGTAGTTGGTTCCAAAGAGTGCGATATTTAATGGTGAAAAAGTTTGCCCCAATGG